AATACAAACCGTACATCTAATACATAATTACGTACAGAACATCAAAAACATTGTGCACTTCACAAGTTTAAATGCACTTTTCTTATTCACACTGTGAATCTTTTATTTTGTATAAAAATCAGTGGTCTAGTAATAAGAGTTATGCTAATGGAACGCAAGGATTTGTAATTAAATATAACGTTGTACAAAGTTTTGTTGCTCGGTAACGTCCACAGCCAAGAGCACTAGGTGACTCGTAAAGTGACGTTGAAAATAAGACGAGAACAAGCTACCTTGTCATTTCCTCGGCTCGAACGACTACTGCGTATGCAGCTCGGTAGGGATTTATGTTTTAACGAACTAACAGGAAGGAGCTATAGCGTAGGAATTTACGATCCCTTTAACAATCGTTGGATACTTGTATAATTTATTTAATTGCAACGAAAGTAAAACACGAACAAGTAGTCGATCTCTGGCGGTGTTATTATGGACAAAGGGAAGGTTTAATCAGAAACAGCCCTCGTTTGGTATCGCGAGAAGCTGGTCGCGAATCTATAAATCTGAGGGAAGGATTCACGCCTATCGAGCGTCTCCTCGTCCACGCACGTTACACGCGTTGTCCTGCTCGGGGAAAGTGTCCGGTCGGCGTGGAAGAGAGTAGGCGAGCCACCCCCTTCCTGGCTGGGCCGACCTCTGGAAGATTTGTCCCCTAATGTAGTCAGTGAGCCTCGGGGACGGCTGCGACGATGGGGTTCGCAAGTAGGCGTCTAGAAAGTGAGTAATGCTCACGACAAACGCAGCCCCCGGGGGGTCGAACAGGGGTTGGACCAGGGAGAGAAGATCCCGGCAGATAGGGTGCTAAGCGACACGCTAAGACCGCTGACTATCTACGTGTCTCCTCGAGGGTTGCCTCTCACCCTGATATCCTCCCCTGCTCCTTTTCAACCTCGTTCTTTCGGCCTCTTTGTCTTTCTCTTCTTCCTCATTTACCATCGTTTTTGCCGTTCATGTGTGACAGCTTCTTCATCGTTGCAATTAAAGGAGTTTAGATCAATCTTCCCTTTATGAAAATGTTACATTAAATACTTTTTCATTCGTAATGAACTCAATTAGAATCACGTTTGGTTATAATTATTTTATTTGCCATCGATTCGATCACGATGTTTCCTTTTTCGAAATTCGCAAGTCACCCTCTTTGAAATCCGATCTTTTACGGTCCGCAATTTGCCAGGCTGTTTCCCTTACCCTAAATCGGAGGGTGGAAAGGGTGTCGAATTGTTACAAGTCGCCGGTTAATGCTGGATTTACCGCAATATCAACACTGTCCCATTCGCGTCCGTAGCTAATCTTTAAGAAAGGAAATTGTTCTCGACGTTGATGATTCCCAGCATCTGTCAACGAGGTCCCGGTGGCGTTGATTAAATTAAAAAATATCCAGCTCGACACGGACACGTCTTACCCAATGTGACGATAACAAGACGAAGCCTTGAAAGAGTGGCCAGCCAGGCTCGATTACTTTGGACGTCATCAAAGAGCGCGAGGATGACGACGAGAAGGACGGTGGCTGGCATGAAGGCAGCCTTTGTGTTTTGCCGGAAGCATGGTTCGGCTCTTGATAGGCGACGTGCCTAAAGTGCCTCCTTTCTGATTCCCCGCTGCCTCGATCTTCGGCATCCTCGTCTTCATTTTCTCTATATTAGGCGTCAGGCGACGTTACTTCGTGCATCTTCTTAAATAGGTACTTTAACTTCCAACTATACTAGTTTTTATACAGTGAAATTAAACGATGTTCCTTGTAGAATTTCTCAATCTAATTTTTATTCGAAGCAGCATGTAAAGGAATTGATTGGAGTTCTTTGACTTAACGGTTTACCATTGTGACGCCGGATAAAAGAGCGTTCCACTGACTATTCGTTCAATGAATGGTCGATTCGTTTTATCAAGAAACCGCAATGCAGTGAGGAATCCATCAGGCTCGGTCGAGATTTAGGTCGACCAGCGTTGACGGACGATGCGACACCGAGGGTTGGAAGAAGATACAAAAATGAGCGAGCGTTGGCTTCGCCCGTTATCCAATCGACCGGAAAACTCATCAGTCACTTCGTACATAACACCTTCGCGGTATCAAAAAGCTTCTTCCTCCTCTAATCTGTGCCTTTGCGGTACTGCTCTCCATTTTTCAATCGTTTCTTCTCGCTTTCCATTACGAGCGGATTGATTCGGTCAGATAAATGTATCTCATTAGCCTTTCAAATCTCAATTTCCAAATAAATGGACTAGAAATTGCTATCGACACTCTGTTCGCACCCGTTATATGAAAAGGCAGGAGACAGCGAACCCGCGGCCCTCCTTGAGAATAATTTGAATAATTGCCGACCCGGCTTTTTCATCGAGGATGCTAAACAGCTGTTGTCTACGTTTCTCTTCTGCGAGCTTCCGTTAGAGACAATGCGGGAGCATCTTAATTTTCTTAAAAGACCTCGCCAGATTAGAAACACGATGCAAATTTTTTTCTCATCGAACGATCTACGTTGTCATTAGACATTTTTCATGCTCTCCTGCTTTAGCTTAGAGTAATTTCTTTTTCGATGAAAATGTTGAGACGATGAATCAATTATTTTTGCAACGCTCTGATTATAACTATTAAATATTTAAGTACATGTCTTACTCGTACTCTCCTTCTTCAGATCAGAGCGATTCCTTCTTAGATCAAAACGTTGTGAGAAGTCACGTGGAATTTCTATAGCTTGGTTAAAGAATTTCGCTATATTTGAGATTTGAGCGTGCTCTAATTATTAGATATTTAAGGATACATCGTTGCACGCCCGGAGCACGTACGACTTCTATCAACGACAGGACAGCAACCCCCGGTTTGGCAAAACACGCAGTGGGGTTGACTGGAGGCAGCGCCGAGTAATAATTCGTCGGCCGAATTAGCGCCATAAGTTTGCCGCCGCGACAGCCGCGGAGATAATATTAATCTACTTTGAATTTATACACCGTGCGGTCTTCCGCCGCTCCGCGTGCCGGGCAACTTCCTTCGTATTAAGTCCTCCCGTGGTTTTCCGTCCTCTTTTGCCGAGCTCTTCCCCCGTCTTCTAGCCATGGACCGTCCCTTCGGACCGTGTGTAACGGAGTGGTCCTCTTCCATTGTTCCCATGTTCGTTAGAAATATTATAGGAATTTTATCGACCTGGCGAGGGTCGAAGAATAATCTTGTCTTTGATGCGCGGCGATCATCACGGGACAGGATTGCAAGGGATTAATTTAATTTTGGAGCGTGGAGAGGGTGCGGGTTTATTTACTTCACGGTAGGTATTAAGACGCGGTTAGAGGCAAGGGGTGAGATTCACCCCTTCGGTGTAGACAGATAAATAACTCAAGACGGCCTGGGAATAGTTTAAGACACGAATTCTTGATGAGCACGGAACTGTTCATTATACAAGAAATTCTGCGGAATCGTTTCATTCGATCGAAAATGATTTTTTCTCCAAATTACTGGCTGTCCGCGGTGGAGCTCGTGACTGATAAAGTGTCGAGGAAGCAGGAAGTTTTTAACAAAAACACAGTGGTCAACGGTTAACGCGGCCTCGTATGCATTATGCACTTTGCGTTGCACCACTTGCATCGTCGAGTTTCTCCGCCCGGCAGGAAAAAAATTTATGTTAACCCGTGCACCGCGAGTCTTCGCTCCGGCACGGAAGATTAAGACATTCTCGAGCTAATAATTTTCATCCTCGGCCTGGAAATGTTTTGTCCGTTCCTCGCTCGTTTTTCAACCTCGTTCCTCTTCGTTTCAAGTATCCCTCGAAAGATGTTCGAACCAGGGGAACACAGTTTCGAGCTATTCTCATGAACGATCGATTTGAATATTCAAAACCAGATTGTTTCGAAAGATATCTGTAGATATTTGTGCGAACGAGCGAATTTTCCTGCGAGACAATAGGTGTCAGTCGGGAGAAAGAGCGTGCCTGAAGGTACGCGGCTCGAGAGCCAACTCTACAATTATGAGCTATACCACGTCGGGGCGAGCCTCATAACGAACTCACTATATTGGTGAGTATTTCAAACCTGGCCACTCGTAGACGCTCTTTACCTGGTCCCCCTGCACCCATCTCCGGGGACCGTGCAGTTAGGCCTGCGAGAATAATGTTCCGGAGATGAAAGAAAGAAACTTCGAGGAACTGGCGATGCACCGTGAATTCCTGATCTCGGTCCACGCCGGCTAAACAGTTTCTCGACTGTCTGTCTTCAATGATTTTTCACTGCTCGATCTTTCGGTTGATCATCGAGTCCATCGGAATCTCTGGGATTCGTAAGTTGAAGAATAAATCATATTGCAGAAGTGATGCCACGGTTAGGAGGAAACAGCAACCAGATGTGGCTGTGGTATACGAGACATGTGTGTCCACGCCATCGGATGACACTTGCTATATATAGTTCTGTGGGAAAAAGGGGTTCCAGAGACATAATTACACCTACGCGAGAACTAAGAAAGTCTACGTATCTTTTTTTTTTAAATTTTAAACTCGTATTATGTGTCTTAAATGTGATATAGTATCTTTAGTGGTACTGTAAATGAGTAGAGATGTTTCCTTCCGTATGGGTTATGATTCCAATAAAAAGGAGAAGAAAAGGAGGTGAAAGAGAATGGAACGTTGATGAACAGCAAATAAATAATCGCATTAATTCCCTGGGCTAAATGGACGTGATCCATGGTTCCATGTGGAACACTGAAAGATCCCACGTGTGATCCGAGAAGACGCGTGGGAAGACGCCCGTACGAACATCGGCAGCTGTTCACACGTGGTCCTTTATGTGCATTACTAAAATCCGCCGCGGTTCTCGTTTCTTTTTCCCTCCTTCAAAAGTTCCTCTCGACATGAATAATTGTGAGATCATTTCGCCGGGCATCCTTCCGAACTAGTCAGAAATGATAATAAGTCTGTGCAATCTCTACGATTTATGTTTCTTATTGTCATGAATATGCATGAGAAAAGAGAATGTTTGTCTGATTTCAGATCGACACTCCGTTAGAGAACGAAGTGGACGTAACAGCGGACACGAGTAACCCCGAGTCAACCTCCCCGGAAAAGGGATTCAAGGGTGAGTGGAAATTATGCTATTTTCATTTATTAACATACTCCGAAACACGATCCTCACATGCTTCAAAAATTATCTCAGACGTCCACGCAACCGTTATTAATTTCTACCCCAATTTGCAAAGCTCTTCCCTCGTTCATTATTCTCATTCAAGAACTCGTCGCGAGGACTACTTCGCGTTAAAATGAATCTTCGCTTTGTTAATTAATCAGAAAATATCGGAAAGTCGTGAAACGATTGGTAGAAAGGTCGGAATTAAGTCGGTCGCGATCTCGAACGTTTCACGCCGATCTCCGACGAAACCAATCCACTTAACTCCCAACCCCTTGCTACGCAAGAAAAGTCGTCGAGGTTTTGTTCTTGAACAAAAATCTGACAAATATGCCGCGATTTGCCGAAGAATGGTGGCGAAGTACAGTCGGAGCCACCCTCTGGAGCATTCCCTTCCTTCCTTCCTTCCAGTCTCTCGAAGGATTCTTCGTCCCTGCTCGCCGACCACCGAGCCACCCGGACTTCTCTCTCTCTCTCTCTCTCTCTCTCTCTCTCTCTCTCTCTCTCTCTCTCTCCTATACCGTGTCCTCGTGGCTGGTAAGGGTGGCGAGCAAAGGGTGACTCTTAAATTACTTAGACCGAACAAAACGTAACAAATGACGGTGAATCGAGCCACTTATGCGATATTGGCCCATCACCGGCACCCACGTATATTGATACGTCGCATTAGAGCTGCCAGCCACCCCTTTGGACGTTACTACTCGTTCCCCGTGATTTCTGCGGATCGTTCCAGCTTTTTGATGGAATATCTTCTTTTTTTTCACACCGCGTCACATCGCTACTTCCGCTGATTCTTTGAGTTACACGTGTACGTGGAAAATTGACAGTTACTCTCGATAGAGAAGGAGGTCGATCCTTCTCTTTTCTTTCCTGTCTCTTTTCGTTCTTGTACTTGGCTCTCGGTTATTAATGGTTTTCGCGAACTCGGTTCATTAAGGAACTTGGAAACTCCGCGGCACATTCACGAAGGAAGTGAAGTGTCAGAAACGTTGGCCCCGCTACAAATTAGCAACGTATATTATATTCCAAGGGTCGCGCTCCAATTTTCCCTGTCGTTCCCAAATCGGAACGTTTCTCGTTCCACGATCTCTTCTCGTTTCTCGAAGAAATTCTTCCTCAAGCCGTGAAATGCAAATTTTCAACCGGCTACGAGGATCCCGGCAATTAACGCGGCGATAAAAATTCAAGGGCCACCGAAATCACCGATGTCGTTCGTGCGAACCCTTTCACGAGGTTGTCGTATCAATTTTCCCCCTTCCGCTCGGGGTTCTTTTTGTCAGCCGCTAGAATTACACGCGCTATTATCGGAAAAAAGTGCCGGAGATAAGAAGACGGGATCCGCGGCGCGAGCAATCCACTCGCTCGCGGAAAGCGAGGAGATGAAGACATTATCGTGATCATTGCCCGCGTGTTTAAGCATCGCAAGAACGCAGAGTGCGAGAGAAGCAGAGAGCGAAAAAGGGACGTTGCTCGTTCGCTAACAAGCTGCACAGTCTGTGTTGTTTGTTACTCTTCTTGAAAAATGTCCTCAACTGTCGCCACGTCATGCTCTGGAAAAATTTCTGGTTGCATCGTTCCGTCTGCACATCATTCTCAAATACTTTATTTTCCGAAATCTCAGTGCATTTTATTTCGTTATGACATTATCCATCGAATAATGAACTACGGAATCATATACTGGGACAGAGGAAATGTTTCAGTCGTTTGAGTACAATGTCGCGAGCATTTTTCTGTTTTACTCAAAAGAATTCCTTGCCAATTACGCTGGTCGCGATTATGTACATAGTTCGCAAGATTCCCCGAGAGGAACTTTTTCCCCTCGGCCTGCATTTCGTGGTTGCTTCTCCGGCCGGAATCGTTCTACACCAAAGGAGATAATGCAATAATAAGTATAAGTTAGGTAGAGTAGGGGGTTGCCCCGCGGTCGGGGAACGAGTGCTCCTCGCAATCTTCGGTGCCGGCTGATTATTATGTCGTTCGGGACGAGCTCCGAGCATTTTCACGAGCAGATCCTGAATGGCTTCGTTGCGTTTTCTCGCGGAGTCGATCGTTCCCTGTGCTCTTATTAGCGCTGCCGGGGCTTTTTAAGCCATCGGAGAATCAGAGCAGGAATATCAGGCGACTTGAAACGACTAGATGCAAACTGGATATATTCGTAACCGAGATTATTTGTAATAACGTTCGCATCACGTCCGAATCATATTTTTGTCACAGAGACATGGCAGGTTAAAACTTGAAATATAAAAGTGATGAGAAGAACGGTGGTAGTGAAATTGATGAGAACATCTTATCCCGAGGCCTCGGCCCGTTCCCCTCTGCGCTTTTGTCACCACTTTCGCCTTAGGTGACTATGACAAATAATTGCCGAAGCTTAACATAAGCCAGAGACGGCATACTTAGCTAATAGCAAAAACGAGGGGCGTAAGAAATAGAGGGTAGGTTTACGTTGGTACGCGGCGCGCGATCAAATTTCTGTAAAGCTTTTCCGGAAACCGTCCGTCGATACAACGTTTGCGACTTCATCTGGTGCATTCTTTATTGTTTGAAGATGAAATTGAATTTACTTACGGCGAAGATTACGGGGACCCGGAGATTATTATACTTACCTCTCTCTCTCTCTCGTCGGCGAGGTTTTACGATCCGGTGTATCCTTAAAGGCGGAGAGAATAATCTGAGAACGAGTTCCCGTGCGTTCTGACGACGGAACAAGTTATTTTACCACGGACGTAGCTCGATGCTAAACGCCGCATCGACGTGGCATGCGTGACACCCCTACGTCCCGTCATTTTCGTCGTCACCAGTCGTCCTTAATGGGAATTTAAGAAGCTCTGCAAACGACCTCGTCGATTCCCCGGGATTTCCATCACTCGTTTTAAATTATTCTTCCGCCCTTCCTTCCCGCTTCATTTTTCATTTTTGCTCTTTTAGCGACCAGCGAATTTCCACTAATGTACAGCCGAATCGCAAAATTGTTCGAAAGACGGAACCGTGTTTGACTCACCTTTTATAAGAATCCTTGTTAGGCCTTGTCAGATCGTCTTTCGTCGACGTCGCGAGAAAGGATTCGTAGACAAAAGACCGCGCGGGGAGATAGAACGGCGAGTCAGTCATTTCCTGCTGGCCGGAAAAACATTTCGGAAAAGTCAGTCGACCGAGAAGCGCGTTTCATTCTGTCCTTGATTCACGCACACGGAAGAAGCTGCATGCTGTGTGAAACGTATACACGCAACTCATTCTCGTCCTCGTTCATCCATCTATCCACAACTTCAACATTTCCTTCCAGATCGTAACCAGTGCTACACAACTACTCTACATCTCGCTAACTAAACACGTTTGGTCTGTTTAAGGATGTATAGGATGTACACTTAAACAATGCTAACATGTTGAATTTGTTATTATAGATTCCTCTTACTATTAAAAAGCTACCAGCAAAATTTTAAATCAATTCATGAGTTTTTTGAAAAATTATAGTGACTTGAAATTTGCATGTACTCTTATGATAATCAGCAGTAACCCAAAGAAAACTTTTTGGTATTTGGTGTGCACGCGCGAAGTTGGAAGAAACAACTGACTTGAGC